GGGGGGGGGGAATGTTGCATGTTAAAAAAAGAAAAAGCCTTAGTATGTGTGACATTAACTTACTTGGAGGGCAGCAAAGAGATCTTATTGAAAGAAAGAGGACAACTCATGTTATACAGTAGAAGAGTATCTGGTAAAACTGTTGTCTACAGTAACTTAGAAGACACACATTATTTAATCTATCTAGTAAGAGAAAGTCAGAGAACAGAATTTTAGCAGCCTGAATTGGATACTGTTGGTCACCATCAACAAAGTACAGAATTAGCTCAGACAAGAACTGAACTGGCCAGTTTGCAAGCAGCACAAGGGACGCAGAGAGACCACAGAAATCAACGGGCTTGCAGGGTTCACAGAAGCAACTGCTTCTCATCCCTAACTGGTTAACAGATAAAGCTGAGAAATGTTTGGAATGACAGACGCCATTTTGAACTCATGTTTTTCAGGTAGAATAACCGATTGGCCATCTTACCCATCTAATTGCCTTGACCAGGTTTACCTATACCTGTCCCAGTTTTAGCTCTGATAAGTACTACACCCCAGAAAACCCCTCTGCCAAGCAAGTGGGGACAGCAGGTGACCCTACTCGTAGGAAAGACTGTAACAGTGGTATGACCATCATATCTGTTGTTAAAACCTAAAACCTCCAAGTAGATCCAACTGTCTTAGAGCAAAGACCTCAAAGGTTGTGGCACCCTGTAAATCATTGCAGTTAAACCGCTTGGGGAAGAGACTTAAAATGCAACTCTCCCACTTAAAATTTGAAACATACCAAATGAGTCGGAGAGATGTGAGAATAAGAAAATGTATCAAATTTAAGAAATCTGTCTAGGAAAACTACTGGCACATGAAAGTGCCTGAAATCACAGATAAAAAACCAACTATAGTTTTGATTGTACTATGCTGCTGAAACACAAGTTCACATATTCCCAGCCATCCACAAAGGATCAGGGAGCCCAATCGTACTATGCGCCCAGAAGGTGGGAAGCTGGAAATACTTGGTAAATAGCACCAGTGACCACCGTGCAATAAATAGAAGTGACGTCCAGGGGCACCCAGGTGGCTCAGTCGGTTGAGTGTCCGGCTTCGGCTCAGGTCATGATCTCACAGTTCGTGAGTCCGAGCCCCACATTGGGCTCTGTGCTGACAGCTCAGAGCCCGGCGCCTGCTTCAGATTCTGTCTCCCTCTCTCTCTGCCCCATCCCCACTCATGCTCTGTCTCTCTCTGTCTTAAAAATAAATAAAACATTTAAAAAATAATTTGAAAAATAATAATAATAAAAAAAAAGTGATGTCCAAACCACTAGCTTCTAGAGTGTGGCACTTAAGCTTCAGAACAACCCAGGAAGCAAAAGTAGTTCAGCAGAGAAGACCATATTCCAGTCTTACCCTTGGGCAAAAGTAAATCAAACTCACCTTACATAAAATAACACAAATCAAGAGACTGTGAATGGATCTATATTACGAGGGACAGAGGAGTGAATGCACCTGAACATGGAGGAGTGGTGGATACACGTAGAAAAAAAATAGCTCTCCATTTCTGTATAAAAGCCACGCTGCAGAGATCTGGGAGTGAACAGAAACAACTGTTGTGAGATGTGGGCATTTTACCAAATGACTTGGAGAACAGAGTTGAGCCCTCCTTACTTCAGCAGTGCAGAAGGAAAAAACCAAGGCCTACTGGACTGACAGTCTCCTTCTCCCAGAGACAGAAGGCGAGGGTGCTAGAATAATCATTTTTCTTTAGAAATGGAGAGTCAAGAGAATACTGGAATATTCTTGGCCCAGGATTAGAAGACTTGTTGATATGAGGCAGACACAACTGCCCTGGCCTCCAAATCCAGGTGTATTTACCTCATGTTTTAAACAAAGTGTTTTAAGTACTTTTCTGCTTCTAAGTTTTTAAGATGTCAAACCCCAGATCTAGGAATTAAGACCCTTCCCTACCACTAATTTCAAGGGCAGAGGTCAACATGACACAAAGTAGAAATATATACTCAACTTTTATTTCATTAGAAATCCATTTAAGCCACATGGTGGCCATAATGCCATGTCCTGAGCAGGCTTTGTCATCCCAGTGTCCCCTTCAGACTGATATTCACAAGTTTGCTGTATGTTGGAGAAAGGGCATTTAACATGTGAAACAATGAGAATTGGACACTATTTCATCATTCCCCCTCCCATACACCAACCCATATATCACTTCCACACAGACAAGCTCTCATGGAAGAGAGGCTGAACACCAAACAGACTGACCATAAGACGCGCAAGTCCGAAGGAACTCTTGGCAGATGTTGAGGAAGCAGGGACAAAAACACCATCTCCCAACGGCTGAACATGAAGCACAAGCCCCTAACTAAGAGATGTCAGAGAACTGTTGTCAAGGACACCAGAGGGTACAGCAGACCCCGGGAAGAGTGACATCATTCCATCACAGTCATAGGCAACCCGTTCACATCGGACAGGCTCTTTTTCCAGGACAGGAGCATCCAGACGGAGAGGCCCTTCAAGGGCCTGGTAACAGTTCTGATAATACTGATGTTCGGAGCCTGCCTGCGCAGTTCCTGCCCGGACCCTGCCTGGTCTTCCAAGGTTATAGCCGGTGGAGTGAGGTCTTATCACACCCCTCTGGATGGATGGTCTGGAAGGCCCTAGGGGGCTCTGTGCTGGCTGGTTGACTTCTGGTGGTCCAGGAGCTCCCAGGTAACGGGCTCTCCAGTAAGCCTCCCAGGGACTCCATCAGTCTAACGAAAATGGAGAGCAGGGTCAACACCACACCTAAGAGATAGAGGTTCAACAGAGGCTTCATGGCTGAAAGGACCCCACACTCCTCTGCAGAGCAGTAAAGCTTTCTTCCACTTCTGCAAGGCCTCTGGATGCTGAGGAAAGAGAGGTGTGGTTAACCTATAGCCTTCTGGGATATGCATGCATCTGGCCCTGACTTCTGTCTTCCTAGGGAGCTAAGACAGGGAGATAGGGACCAGCGCATGTTCTTCCGCAACAGAATCTCCCAGCATATTTACACTATAAACTCCATGGCCCCAGAGCTAGACTTACTTCTGGGGCTAACTCAAAAGCACTCCTCAAAACTTTTACATCTTCTAGGGCACCTGGGTGGCTCAGGGGTAAGCTTCCCCCCGACCCTTGATTTAGGCTCAGGTCATGATCCCACGGTTTGTGGGTTCCAGCCCAGCCAGCATTGGGCTCCGACAGCACAGACCCTGCTTGGGATTCTCTCCCTCTCTTCCCCTCCCCCACATGTATGGGTGCCCTCTCTCTTTAAAGTTTAAATAAACTTTAAAAACAAAACAAAACAAAACAACTTTCACTTCTTCTAAAGCAAAACCTTTTTACTCCTCCCGCCTGGTGCAATGCACAATCCCTGTGCCACAGCTCAGGGCACAGAGGGGCCAAAAATCTTCCAGAACCGAGTCTGTTTCTGAGGGAGGAGTTGTAAGAACATGCCCTTGAGAAAGCAACCTGTCTAGAGGTCTCCCTCACATCTCAGTCAGGTTCCTGTTAATCATAAATTTTTTGATAAGTAAAAATAATTCTAAGACAGTCAAATCTATCTAGTTCACTTAACAACTACGCCCTGAATAGTACAGTGTGTTAGGCGCTCTGCAAGGTACTACGGCCACACGGGGTCCGGCAGACACGAACCCTGTCCTCACCGGGCGGACAATCTAAGCAAGAAGAGAGGCAGTTACCACCCACCCACCGCGCCAAGTGCTGTGACAAGAAGGCTTCTTCGGGAGGGCAGGACTGGGACACCTAATCCAGCACTAGCGAGCATGGGGAGGGCGTCATGTAACACAGGGTCATCCCTGAAAACACAGCTGGAGCGGCTGACTCCCGGACCCGAGTGGAGGCGGAGCAAGGAGCACCCGCTCCAGGCAGCGCGGCCCCAGGCCAGGAACCCGAGGCGGCCCGAGGGGCACGCAGCCCGGGGAATAGGGGCGGGAAGGCGGGGAAGCCCACAGGGTCGCTCACCTCCAGGAGGAAGGGCCAGGAGCCGTCCACTCGCGGTAACAGCGGGTCGTGCAGGAGTCGAGAAAGTCAGCCCCGGGACAGAGCTGAATCGCAACCAAGAAGATTCTCGGAGCACAAAAGCGCAGCCCTCCGCAGGCAACACCGGGAGGCCGCCCACACCGCCCACTTATAGCCACGTCCCAGCCCCGGAGCCCGCGCATGCGCACTGGGGCCGCACGCACTCGCCCGGACGCACGTCCGCGGCCCCGCCCCCAAGCGGGGCGGTCCGAGGTCGGGGTCTCCGAGCAGGGTTCTCAGTCCGACCTGTTTTGGAAAGAACGCAACTTGGGGTTCTGAGTCACTGAGATCGGCAGTAAGGTCAACGTGTGTGTTAACTCGGACTGCTTCTTCCTGCTGCAGGAAACTTTGGAAGGAATCAGCACATTTACCCCCGTACTAAGTGGATTGGAAGACACACCTGAGGTGCCCCAATCCAAGGGACCCTCAGGTCAGATGAAGACCGGTCTGCGGAGGAGGGCTTCTTCACCAGACGTTCCAACAAAGCACAGATTGTCAGAAGGCATCAGACCCCCACCCCCTGCCCCCAGTGTTTAAATTCCAGGGACTGAAGAGCTGACTTTCACTTTCTAGAAGTGTCAGCATTCCGGGCACCACCCCCACTCTCCAGTCCAAGGCCTGAGGTCTAATTTACCACTGATATCATTGGAATGGTGAGGCGTTTTCGCATCGTATTAAGTTCTGCTTTCTACGAAAGTTTGTCATGTGTTAGAAAATGTGAAACACTCAGCTGGCCCTGGTGCCTGTTCTGACGTCACAAAGACGTCACTTTGTACTCACTGGGCCTCAGTTTTCTCACCTAAAATGTGGACACAAGATGATTTTATTTTATTATTTTTTTAACGTTTACTTATTATTCAGAGAGCATGAACATGGGAGGGGCAGAGAGAGGAGGAGCCACACAATCCGAAGCAGGCTCCAGGCTCCGAGCTGTCAGCACAGAGCCCGAAGCGGGGCTTGAACCCAGGAACTGTGAGATCATGAACTGTGAGATCATGACCTGACCCCCAAGTAGGACGCTTAACCGACTGAGCCACCCAGGCACCCCTACAAGATGATTTTTAAAGATACTTTCAGATTGAACCAAAGAGCTAGGAGGTGACAGTTCAGTCTCAGATTTGGGGGCTGGGAAGCTTTGCTAATCCCACCGCTACCCCCACCCCGCCACCCCCGCAAAACCAGAGAAATGTAACCGTTCTACTGTGAGAGCACCCAAAGGCGGATCTCGGAAAATAGAGAGTCCTGGGAAGACACCAGGAGTCAGCGGGCCCCTGGGAAGGAGCCTTCAGGCAAGAAGGCTGCCAGTGGTTTCCTTGCTTTCCTCCTGGGGAGGAGGAGGAGGGCAGTGGGCCAAAGCGCCGGGGCAGGTGAGTCTAGGCTGGTCCACGGAGCTGTAGGACTGGTGGTTCCACGTGCCAGGATCATGTGCCGAGGCTGGATGGGGGAGAACCCGGGAGCCCTGCTGTGCTCTGCCTTTTAGTGAAAAAGAAGGAAGGGTGGGGCCAAATCCCAACTGCGACCTTTCCCCTACTTTCTGGGTTCACAGTCTTCTGTTTTCCAGGAGGAGTGGGTGGAGAAAGTTGGGGATGAAGACGTGCTGGCAGGCAGGCACTTAGAAACTAAGTTTTCTGTTTAGCCGGCAAGAATTTTTGGTCTTTCCTTAGAGTTTTGTCCGCTTTTGTGCTGGACCCAGTGACTCTTGCTCTGTTGTTAGGAGACGCTAGAGCGCCAAAATCACACTGCCAGATGTCCCAAAAGCCATCACTTGCTAGTTGGGGGCTTTGGGCAAATCCTTTAATCTTGTTGTGCTTCAGTTTCCTCACATGTTATGTGGAATGATAATAGCCCTTACCTGGAAAGTCAATGAATTCATCCTTGTATATAGCACAAAGAATGGTGCCCGGCACATAGAAAGCATTCCATGGTGGGGGGGGGGGCACCTGGGTGGCTCAGTCTGGGGTCCATGAGTGCTGAACTCTGCTCTTGGTTCGCTCACACATCTAGCTGCAGTTTGCTCAGGGAGTTGGAGCCCCTACACGGTTGGGGGGGGGAAGTGATAGTGCAGTTCCATGACAGAACCCAGGTGAACCCTGGCAGGATTATGTCTCCCTCGCTCTCTCTGCCCCTCCCCTGCTCACACTATCTCTCTTTCTCTCAAAATAAATAAATAAATAAACTTACAAAAAAATTAGAAAACATTCCATGAGTGTTAACATCATCGGTATCATTGACCACAAAAGTCCCAAAGAGGGACTTTGTTCATAGTAGCCTACGTTTGGTGCTCGAACCCTGAAGTTCCACAATAACCCTTTGGGGTCTGCATATTGTGAGCCTTAAATTTTTATTTTCACACAGCTGGAAGGAAGAGATGGGCACCTCTCGAACAATTCCCTCTCCCCCATATTCACTGTCATTGCTTGAATGTCATGCCAGCTGAAGATAACCAGGGTTTGAGTGAATATAGATAGCCCTTTGCTTCCCAACTATCAGCTACAAATATTATTGGCTGTCATCTTTGGGTAGGTACTGGGATGTCTAAGTCAGGATTCTTGTCCTGGCTCCAATACTGGCCAAATTAATCAATCTATTTGAGCCTTGGTTTCCTAATCTGTAAATTAGGGAAAATCATATATAAATAAATAAATAGGAGATGCTCAGTAAGTAGTGGCTATTGTTTTATTAAGCCATTTAGAAGCAGGTTCTTTTTTCTTTTTAAAGAAACATGTTTATTTTAAATGTTTATTTATTTTGAGAGGGGGGTAGGGACAGAGAGAGAGAGAGAGAGAGAGAATGAGCAGGGGAGGGGCAGAGAGAGAGGGAGAGAGAATCTCAAGCAGTCTCCATGCTCAGCATGAGCCGGACTTGAGGCTGGATTCCATGAACAGTGGGATCATGACCTGAGCCCAAATCAGGCATCAGATGCTTAACCGACGGAGCCACCCAGGGATCCTGCAGCAAATTCTTTTTTTAAAAGTAATCTCTGTGCCCAACATGGGGGTTAAATTTACAACCCTGAGGTCAAGAGTCACTTGCTCCACTGACTGAGCCAGCCCCTAGAGGCAAATTCTTATCCTAAGCAGGCTGTCATCTAGTTGGATAGATAAGACCTAAAATATCTAACAACCAGCCCCAGGTACTGTAGGAGTATTGGTTAGAAATTAGTCACACTGGAGCGTGAATCCTGCTCCACAATTTGTTAGTTGTTGCCCTCGGGCTCTGCTGGCCTCAGTTTCTTCATTTATATAATGGAAGCAATAATAGTTCTAACCTAATAAGACTGTTACGAAGATTAAACTAAAGAATGGGTGTAAAATACTTAGCATAGACTAAGGGCAAAATAAATGGTGGTTATTAATCTAATTAGCTTCCAAAGCACACTATCATGAATGTACTGTGGTTCTTGGGAGCCCAGAAATAGAGGAAGAGAGAGAACTGGGTGGTAGGCAAATATGAAGTAAGAACATAACTAGGGTGGAGATGCCTTGCTTGGGGATCTGGAATTGTAACATTCACCATGAGTAAATGGAAGACTGGAAACGAAGTAAGCATTTTTTATTGGAGAAATACAGGAAAAGATGACTATCTTACCCAGCATCTTAGTAAGGCCCCACTGTTCCACCAAAGGAGGGTAGATAGGGTCCCAAGACAAACTCTCTTTGCGTTCTACCTCCTCATTGGGGACTGCTTATCAGGAAAAGCTCCTTATGTGGAGATTCCTCAGAAAATTAAAAACAGAGCTGCCGTATGACCCAGCAATAG